GTAACAAATTAAATACAAAAGGCAATCATTTCTGAATCTGATTGCATATTATTGTGACGCTGCTTGAAAAAAAATAAAAATACACCATGCTTACACAAGCAGAAGAAATACTGTAGTATAAACCAAAGTATCATCAAATCTTTAAAAAATATTAGGATTTCTGCCATTTAACGAGGAGAACAACAACGTGCAGTAAACGGTAAAACTGTTTGCACTACAAACCAGTGTGTTCATAATGAGGATAATACATTAAAATAATATGACACACCAACTTTCAATATCAAGCAAAAAAAACAAATGGCCCATTTTTACAACAAGAAAAAGCTGGATAAAACAGATAGTTCCGGTCCTTGATTCTGATTGGTTGAGCTGCGTTCGAACCTGTTGTAAATTACTCCACGAACATACACCTTTGTTTACTTCTGTGTGTTGCTCGGCAATCACTTTGTTGCAACCACAACTAATGGTGGAAGAATACTGTTTTTATTATCGTTACACTTTATTTGCTCTGTTTTATTTTGTGAAACATTACTACGTATATGGAATAACCGTTTTATAAAAGCGATAAGCCCCGTGAAGCCGTGGTTTACAGTGAATTTATAACAGCTAAGGGGGTTTCCGCTTCGCGTCGTGCCTAACAACGCCCCTTAGCTGTTATAAATTCACTGTAAACCACGGCTTCTTGGGGCTTATTGCTTTATTCACTAGCTATATCTCACCTACGTAACTACGTAACATTTCATGAGGTCTAAGACTGTAGATCAGTTACAGCTTCACGTACATCGTTTGATACCCTGTAAAATTATTTATTTAGTTAGTTTACAGCAAAACATTATTTCAGTCTTTGAAATTACATGTTTAATTCAATGAGTTACTTGCCGTTTCTTTGAATATTTGTGAAATATATTAGTAATTTCTAAATTATGTAAATCCGTTTTTTTTTCCCCGTTTAGTAAACAGCATCTGTATTCAGTGGTATATAAAGGCTGCTGCACTCAGGATGACGTTTCTGAATTCTGATGGCATGCATGCATTAGTTTATGCTTCTCCGTTCGGCCCATAATGCAACATGTTATCAGAATTCTGACGGCATCGGTGGCCGAGTGCGCACTGATACACACGCATGCATACAAACACAGTCTGATCAGCGGTCTGATATAACACTGCACTTTCACTGAGTAAATAGCCGTCTCGCTGCTGAATAATGCATTGAAGAGCAGGACGGGTCCGTCAGACTCCACTAATACAACCACAACTACAGAAATCCACAGTGCAAAGTTTAGATGAATTCTAAGCTAAAGGAGCTTTAGGTTTGTTCACAGGGACTGCAAGCAGTGATATAACCAAATAAATTCACAACGTTATAGGAATAGTTCACCCAAAAATGAAAATGAGCTCAAAATGTACTCATCCTCAGGCCATTCAAAATGGGAACAGATTTGGAGAAATGTAGCATTACATCACTTTCTCAGCAATGGATCCTCTGCAGTGAATGGGTGCCGTCAGAATGAGAGTCCAAACAGCTGATAAAAACATCACAATAATCCACACCACTCCAGTCCATCAGTTAATGTCTGGTGAAGTGAAAAGTTGTGTGTTTATAAGAAACAAATCTGCCATTAGGATGTTTTAACTTTAAGCCATCACTTCTGGCTAAAATATGAATTCATAATCCATAATAACACTTCCTCCAGTGAAAAGGTTCATCCCCTGTTGTCCTCTCACATCAAAATCCACCCACAGATTTGTTCAGAACTTCTTTGGACTGTTTTGGCTTGTAAACAGTGCTTGATCTGGGCAGATTTCTCTCCTGATTCAGATGAGACCATTTTTTCACTGGAGAAAGCAATATTATGATAGGGGACTCATATTTTAGCCAAAAGCAGTGGTTTGAAGTTAAAAACGACTTAATGATGGATTTGTTTCTTACAGACACACAGTTTTCCTCTTCATAAATCATTAACTGATGGACTGGAGTGGTGTGGATTACTTGTGGATTATTGTGATGTTTTTATCAGATGGACTCTCATTCTGACGGCACCCATTCACTGCAGAGGATCCATTGCTGAGCAAGTGATATAATGCTACATTTCTCCAAATCTGATCAAGAAACAAACTCATCTACATCTTGGATGGCCTGAGGCTGAGGACATTTTCAGCTATTTTTTTGGGGGTGAATTCCTTTAAGGAAAACGAATTCAGCCAATCAGAAATGTACTTTACTATGACATCACAAACAACTTAAGGTGACATCAAAAGGTCACATAAGGTAGTTTTGGTAACATTGTGTAACATATGACTTTAGTAAGTATACAGGGAAACATAACATACTGTTAATGCATACTGTTAATAGTAATTTGTACGCCATAGGAACCCCTCTGCATTTCATCTGTGTCCTGCAGGGGGTGCTTTATCTGCGTCCTGCATGGCTCCCAACGGTCCGGTGCAGTAATGAGGACACAGGGCAGAGGAACCTGCTGTCCTTTGGATGTAATTTCACACTGCGCTCCCATTAAACAGGTCATCTTCTATCAGGAGCTTCCTCAAGTGTCCAGAGCACATTTTCCAATATGACCATTTCAATAACGGCCTCCTGACTTGATACTAACAAAGCAAATCCTTCAGACAGTTGACCGAGAAAAACAGAGCCTGCTTCCTTATCGCTATGTGCCAATTATCGACTTTTTAAAAGGAAATTCTAGATCATTTTAATTTCTAGAGGTTCATTAAACTGGTTTTCCAAATAAAGAAGAGGATTGTTTTTGTACGTTTAGATTTGGAACAACATGAGCGTGAGTAAATGATGACCGAGTGTTCATTATTGGGTGAACTGTCCCTTTAAGACCCGGTTTGTCACAAAGTTGAAAAAGTCCATTTTAATTTTGAGATCAAATTCAAACATACATTCACTGTGAATAACCCTGATGTCTATTATTCAGCATGTAACTGTTTCACAAATGAGCTGGATATTAGAAATCTCTTGTCTGGGACAATATTTCTCAAGTATTTTTCTTTTCCATCCATATGCACTGTGAAAATACATACTAGCATTCAAAATGTTGGGGTCAGTTGGGTTGTTGAAAAAAAAAAGATACTTTTATTCAATGAGGATGCATTAAATTGATCAAAAGTGACAGTAAAGACATTGATAATGTTACAAAAGATTTCTATTTCAAATAAATGCTGCTCTTTTGAACATTATATTAATAAAAAAATCCTGAAAAATAATGGATGTAACTTTTTTCAACATTGATAATAATCAGAAATGTTTTCGGCATATCAGAATGATCTCTGGATCATGTGTGTGTGTGTGTGTGTGTGTGTGTGTGTGTGTGTGTGCAAAAGAAACAATATTGAATCTAATCAAATTGCAAGCTTGTGAATCATAATAAAATCAAATTGTGAATTTGAAATGCCCAGCCCTTTGTGAATATCAGTCGATTGAAAAAAAGCCTTTTCGTGGCCTGACATTATTTTGGGATGAAGGCAATTTTGACTCCTTAAAGAGCTTGAAATATAAAAAAATAAAAAAAATGTCCTGCTAAAATGACAAAAACACACAACAAAATTACTAAAACTGAAACTAAAATTTAAAACAGAAAATCTAAAAATAAAAACAAATTAAAATATTAATAAAAACTATATAGACATAAAACAAAAACGGATAAAAATGACAATAAAAAAAACTAAATCACTAAAATTTTAAACAAATTCAAAATATTGATAAAAAAATTAATTAAAAGATGTAAAAATGACTAAAACTTGGACTATAATTAAAATAACAAACAAAACTAATTCAAAATATTAATAAAAACAAAACAATTAAAATTAAAAACAAATAAATAAACAAAAATGACAAAAACGCATAGAATTTCTCAAATTTAAAAATAAAAAAAACAACTAAATATAACATTAAAAAGGAATTCAAAATATTAAACAAAACTATAGACATTACAATGTACTGTGGCTGATATATATCCAACTGCAACGCAAGCTTGTAAATCAAAATTCAATCAAATAGAGAAATGAGTGTTCAAACCCAGCCCTAATCAGTCAATAACAGTAGCACCAGCTCTCATGGTCTGATATAATTTTGAGATAAATGCAAACATCTACACCTCGACAACATCAAATTTTGATTGTTTTTAGGATCCAGAAAGGCTGTTTGTGAAGGATGGAGCCGTTCAAAACTATACTGGACACAATGGCAAACCATTTCCAATCATCTCAATATCAGCTGATCATCTGGTGCAGGATCCCTTCACAAGATCGAATCACTGGAGCGGTAAATGTTATGTGACTAATGACTCGAGAACTGAAGGGAAATTACATCTGGATATGTTTCACATCAGCATATTAGAATGATTTCTGAAGATCATGTGACACTGAAGACTGGAGTAATGATGCTGAAAATTCAGCTTTGATCACAGCAATAAATTACATTTTACAATATATTCACACACACACAAAAAAGTGTTCATATTTCACAATTTTTACTGTATTTTTGATCAAATAAGTGCAGCCTTGGTGAGCAGAAAAGACTCTTCTTGTTTTAAAACCACTCATTCTTATCTCTAAGGAATAGAAGTCTAACATCAAACTTTATTGTCAAGTGTTTAGATGTGCTAAGTGTTTTTAAGTGTGTTAATAACACTCCAGATGTCTGAGGTAAAGTGTCTTAAGTGTTTGGTAACTACTAGTCTGACATTCAGCCACTAAAAAGAGTAAATCTGGTATTAGACGTGTGTGGGACTTCAGAAGAGCTGAACGTTCAGGTGTAAAATTCATTAAATTGTTCAGGGTTAAGAATTGAGCGCATTAGAAGACTTCAGTGTTTAGGTTGTTTCTTCTAGACAGCAATGAAATGAAAGAGCGCTTAAGGCCATTTGAGGAGTTTCACATTATGTGTTTGATGTGTAAATTGTTACGGCGTTCAAAACATGGAGAGTCTGCTTCACTAGAGGTGATTGATGTGAGCGGCGTTACGCAGCTAGGCAAGGTTACACGACTTTACAGAGCCTGTCAGTCAGTCTGCCGCTCCTGGTGACTGACGTCTGAGTGGATCTGACCGCTGCTTGGCACTGATCTCTGAACGCCGCAGTCTGTCTGCACGTCAAAACAGCTGCTGATAACATCTGAGCTGAAAAACTGCTAGAGATATTACCTTTCTGCTCGCAGGGTCGATTACGCTCAGAGTCCTCACGGACGGCAGTGACGCATCTACCGGAGACGTTATAATACAACACAACAGCTGTAAAACTGTTTATTAGCTCTTGATTGGACCAGTGGGACTCGCTCGACCTGCAGCGCATGCATGAATATGAGTATGCCAGGGTTATCATAGTTAACTAAAACTAGAACAATATAAAACCTTTCTCACACGAAACTACATTTTGTATAATGCTATAAAAAATTATATTATAGGAGGGGTAAGCGATTTCTGGTAGCCAATGTTGACATTTGAAATCACCAAAACAACCACGCCCCTACCCCAAAAGTGTCTCGCCCCTATTTTGATAGCTCCGCCCCACACATACGTACGGAACCCAGGCAATGATTAGTTCTGAAACAAAGCAAAACCAATGTTACACCGTGTCTACACCGGACGCGAGTGGCGCGGCGCGACAAAATACTATAGAACTCATTATAATCAGTGATGCTGTCTACACCATAGATATATATACATATCTATGGTCTACACTGGATGCGGCGTGGCACGACACGACAAATCCCCAACAGAAAACTGCTGCTGGGTTCTATTCATGACGTACTGACACAAATTTTAAATGATTTTCAACGGTCACTTTGTCGCGTCTACTGTAGACAGACTTTAGCTGTTGTGGCGCAGACACGGTGTTACTCACCTATCGAGAAGAAAGAAAGCAACCTCGGCGTCCGATCGCAGGCCTTCCGCTCCTTGAGTTCTCTCCAGCTCTGGAAAGCTGATCCGATGTTTACACGGGTCCTACTTCTTGGCTTATTACCTTAAGCATTCTTTTGTTCCGCAGACGTTTTGCTCTTTTGTTTTTTATCCACCATCTCTATCTTTCTGTTGCTCGGCTCGGCTAATGTCTGTCCTGTGCACTGAACGCTCTCTCCTCCACATCATGAGTAGACACGCCCCTTACTGCTGATTGGCTACAAGTTTGTTTTGCTATTCGGCCCGAATCAGTTTTCTAAAGCGTATTTGAAAAATCGCTTACCCCACCTTTAACCTTTAAAAACAAACAAAAAAACCCTTTATTTCAGCCAATTGCCAACGCATCAGTTCTCACTTTCATTTATTTTCATTTAATAACTAAAACTGAATAAAAACTGTATAGACATGGACACACAAAAAAAACAACAGAAACTGAACAAATAACAAAGAAACTAAATTATTAATAAAAACTAATATTAAACAAACATGAATAAAATGACAAAAACACACAACAAAATTAAAACAACTCCAAAATTAAAAAGAAAAGAGAAAATATACAAATACGTCTACCTTAAAATATCAATACTATCAAATATCAAAAACACAACAAAATAAATGAAACTGAAGCGAAAACAGAAAAAAAACAATTCAAGAAAACTATAAAGACGTAAAAAAAAAAAAACTTATAAAAAACAAAAAACACAACAAAATGACTAAAATTAAAAATTAAAATTAAAACAGAAAAAATACAAATGAAACAGAAAATGCAAATTCAAAATATTAATAAAAATCGTATAAACATATTTAAAAATATATAAAATACAACAAAATTACTAAAAATCAATTAAAATAAAAACAAAAATATGAACATAAACTAATTTAAATATTAATAAAATTATGGACACATTAAAAAACTAAGAAAATGACAAAAACAACAAAATTACAAAATTATTAAAAGAAAAATTCAAAATAAAATACAAAAATTGTAACTAAAATTAATAAAGTCTGGCAAAATCAGGCAAAAAGTCTGATCACTTAGAAAAGTAGCAGCACAACTTTCCTCAACAACAGTTCATAGCACAAACTCTAAAAGCTTATGGGTTTGTTACAGTCACTAACCGTAAGTATGAGCGATAGCTTCTGCAAACAGCACTAATAATGTTTGTTAAAGCTCTAATTAGCGCAGGTCAGAGGAATAATCCCAGGGTTTGAACAAAGAGGGATTTCTGCTGGTTCAGAGTCAAACGCTGTTGTTAAATTATATGCTACAGTGCTTAAAAGGATCACCATGGTAACAGCGAGGAGAAACCCGCAACAGCAGTCATTAATAACCCAGATATACTGTACTGGGGAAAACGCAGAGAAATGAAGCAACAGCAAACTTACTTCTGCTGCTGCAGGAAGTGAAATGAATCAAAAAGTTAATTTATATGAAGCACGAGGGAGCACATTAAAGCCAAGTACTACTCACTGCAGAACCAAATGACCTCCAGCTCCCCCTCTCTGGATGTCCAGCTCCACCTCTGAGTGAACTAATGGGTGGAGTTATGTTTAGTGATAGGGTAAGGGGTAGGGTTAGGGAGTGGTTGGGTGTCTAGTTCCACCCATTACATCCAGCGAGGGGGAGCTAGAGCTCCAGCTCCTCCCATTTGGCTCTGCAGCAAGCACCCTCTCCATTAAAGCAGAACCGCTGCTTTCCAAACATGAAAACGCCATTTACCCTGCAAGCACCGCTATTACAATCAAACTATAAAACACTGCATATGTCACGTACTGTATATCTAAGAAAGTACATCTCGGCATGTCTTCTGCAAAAATGAACACTTTGAAACAAGCAACATACTTAAATACAATATGGTAAGTAACTAAAACCACAAAAACATGAAAATAATTTACATTTTAAAGATTAAATTTAAAGGAATTAAATACAAAATGCAAAATTATAAATAAAACTATTTTACATTTTATTGACATTATTTTAAAATAAATACATAAATAAAAACAGATGACGTTTTGGTTTAAGTATTTGTAATTTCCTTAATATTCATTCATTCCTTAATATTCACTTCCAACAGACTCTAGAACAGTGGTCACCAACCTTTTTAGGCCCAAGATCCCTGACCTCGGCCTTTATGAAAGACAAGATCTACCTATTGAAGAATTGATAGAAAAAGACATCCCAGATTGTACTTCAAATTTGAGGCCTTTTACTTAGTATTTTAATTAGTGATGCGCCGGTCATAGCTGATTCAGAATTCAGATTTTCTTTCTTTCTTTTTTTTTTAACTAGCGAAGTGGATTCTGATACTGATACTGATTTTTAAGCAAATGTATTTATTGGCTATTTGCTTTATAACAAACAAACTGGCTTTAAACAAAAATATCTAGCCATTTGAAATTAGAGGCAACCACTGCATTTTAATCACGATCTGCACGGGCAGTTGTTTTTGATTTGATTTCGATTAATTTCAGGATTTAAAACAAAAACAGAATGGTCTGACTTTAGGTGTTATTTATTTATTTGCTACATAAAACATCTGCACGAAACAAAAACAGCAGGTCTGAATGAGACGCACTCTCTGACAGCTGGTGGCGCCTGTGAACAGGGTTGCCAGCTTTTCACAATAAAAATAGTCCAATCGTGTTTCGAGGGGGGTTCCCCTGTAAAAATCGCATTCCGGGGGTAAAATACACGTTTTTCGGCGGGGATCTTCAAGTAAAATTCACATTCCAGGGAATAAATATCACGTTATTGGGGTCGCTTCAACCTGCGGACCTGAACAACAACCCACGGCAACAGTGTTAAGTAGCCCGATTCCGGGGGAAAACCGCGGACTTGGCAACACTGCTTATGAACCGACCACACTATAGCGTTTCCTTGTTTACCGCTGTAAACAAAGCAGAGCTGCGCTTCATACGGAGGAGAAAATGCCACTGCCATCGAAACTTTTCTCAAGACAGTACCCTTCAGTGATACATTAATATAACCCCATAAATGATATTAATATAAACAATTATATTTATGCATGTGTATTTTATTCACATCTCATTTCTATTATCTGTGTGTTGTTGTTGTCTCCGTGTACTGGAAGCTTGTGACACTATAACAAATTCCTTGTATGTGCAAACATACTTGGCAATAAAGCTCTTTCTGATTCTGATTCTAAATGTAATGCATTTTTGTACGTATTTTACTGTTTTTTTCGGGATCTGCTGGGACAGTGATAAAGATCTACCAGTCGATCGCGATCGACGGGTTGGCGACCACTGCTCTAGAACATCTAAACAGCAGTTTTGAAGAGCGCAAGGGTCACCTGTTAGCAGGAGGAGCGTGTGTGGTGTTGAAGCACGATACATACTGTAGGACAGAGGAACGTCCAGGTCGCCCTGCCAGGACAGCTGCCCGAGATCATCAACAGAGTGCTGCGCTGCAGAAACACAAACACACACAAACACACACATTAACACAGCTCATGCTAACATATGCACATACAGCTGACAAACATGGAGAACTTCACCGTTGGCAAGTATAAAGCCAACATCAAACAGTCCTGAACATTAATATAAACCATTTTTGCATGTATTATTCGTCAAAGGTTGTGCTTAAATGTCATCGACCAGAGTTTCGATCACAATTTTACTATTTTTACTGTATTTTTGATTAAATAAATGCATATGTAAATGTACCCGCAGGTAAATTTACAGCCGGAGGCTTGCCTCCCTTCGGTCCATAGACTTTCTACAGAGACCCTAAAGCGTGCCGTGACTTTTCTGGAGGCTCATTGAGATGAATGGGGGGGAAGTCACGTGAGAGGAGGCAATGCCTCCGTCACGCTATAATTGGATATGATTGGATGTGATTGGTTTGTGTGATAAATCTTGTTTAAGCAAGATTTTTGATCTTGTTTTCGTGCCAGCTCTCGGCCTGAATGAAGAAAATGGAGACAACAATTGACAACTTATAAAGTAAGTAAACAACTCTCCTGCTTAGATATCACTGCTTTGTGTCACATCAAAATGAAATTGAAATGACTTGAAAACATGATGACTGTGTCGGTTTTAGTGTGCATTTAGCTTGATGAAATGAAAGATGTATCTTCGTGCCTGTGACAAAGTTTACAGGGCTTTTATGACGATGACCCGAAAATATGTTGACTATTAAAAAGAACAGCTGACCATCAGTTCACAAATAAAAAAAACGGAGTGTCTATATACAAGTGCAAATAGCCGCCCTGTTGGCAGAGGCTATTTATACTAACTCCGCCCATCAACATGTGTTTACAAAGCATTACAAAATACTATCATCTAATAACAGCTCCAGTGGCGCAGATGGTAAACTACATGTGGAAGTCGTTTTTGACGCGATCAACCGCGTATATGATATATCCAACAGGTTTTTTCGAATCCGCGTTTTGCCAAACTTTTTTTTCTACTTTTTCAAATCAGATATCACGTCGTTGTTATTGTTATTATTGCATACTCTTTTATAATGTACTACAATACTGAGGTGTAGATAATTGCCACTATCTGCAATAAGTAGCATAAATAGCAGAAAATCATGCTAGGTGTAAATAGAATCTATAGCTATTTGCACTGTGTAAACATTAAGTGTAACAAGGACATGAATAATATATATATTAGGGATGTGCGGGTCTAGTCGACTAAACGGTACAGCTCCTACTAGTCGACACTGAAAACAATAGTCGATTACACGACAGAAAAACAAAACATGATTTTATCATTCAAATTACCATCATTTTAACATTGCATTTAAAACATTTTAAATAACAAATGAAAATAAAACGTTTGAAAAATAATACATTATTTTTTTAAAGTTTATCTGGGCGAAAACTACATATTTACCTGAGACCTCACATGCGTTTTCTTCGTGTCATTTGCAGCCAGTTCAAAAATGACCATGCGAAAGATGAGCAAGGTGTGGGATTATTTTGAATTAGAAGGAAACAGAAAAATTTTGTGTAAATGGTGTAATGTCAAATTGTCTTACAATAACTCTACTGGAGCTATGCGTAATCATATTCAATACAGGCACGTAGGCATTAGCTTAGAGTCAATCAAGTCATTCACTACAACCCGCCGGCGCTGCGATCCCATCCGCGCCGTCTATTCCTCTAACAAAGACCCACTTCGGTGGTGGAGCGGGATGTCCAGGTGCTTTCTGAAACTCTATCGGCTTTCTTTTCGTCCAGGTCGCCCTGCCAGGACAGCTGCCCGAGATCATCAACAGAGTGCTGCGCTGCAGAAACACAAACACACACAAACACACACATTAACACAGCTCATGCTAACATATGCACATACAGCTGACAAACATGGAGAACTTCACCGTTGGCAAGTATAAAGCCAACATCAAACAGTCCTGAACATTAATATAAACCATTTTTGCATGTATTATTCGTCAAAGGTTGTGCTTAAATGTCATCGACCAGAGTTTCGATCACAATTTTACTATTTTTACTGTATTTTTGATTAAATAAATGCATATGTAAATGTACCCGCAGGTAAATTTACAGCCGGAGGCTTGCCTCCCTTCGGTCCATAGACTTTCTACAGAGACCCTAAAGCGTGCCGTGACTTTTCTGGAGGCTCATTGAGATGAATGGGGGGGAAGTCACGTGAGAGGAGGCAATGCCTCCGTCACGCTATAATTGGATATGATTGGATGTGATTGGTTTGTGTGATAAATCTTGTTTAAGCAAGATTTTTGATCTTGTTTTCGTGCCAGCTCTCGGCCTGAATAAAGAAAATGGAGACAACAATTGACAACTTATAAAGTAAGTAAACAACTCTCCTGCTTAGATATCACTGCTTTGTGTCACATCAAAATGAAATTGAAATGACTTGAAAACATGATGACTGTGTCGGTTTTAGTGTGCATTTAGCTTGATGAAATGAAAGATGTATCTTCGTGCCTGTGACAAAGTTTACAGGGCTTTTATGACGATGACCCGAAAATATGTTGACTATTAAAAAGAACAGCTGACCATCAGTTCACAAATAAAAAAAACGGAGTGTCTATATACAAGTGCAAATAGCCGCCCTGTTGGCAGAGGCTATTTATACTAACTCCGCCCATCAACATGTGTTTACAAAGCATTACAAAATACTATCATCTAATAACAGCTCCAGTGGCGCAGATGGTAAACTACATGTGGAAGTCGTTTTTGACGCGATCAACCGCGTATATGATATATCCAACAGGTTTTTTCGAATCCGCGTTTTGCCAAACTTTTTTTTCTACTTTTTCAAATCAGATATCACGTCGTTGTTATTGTTATTATTGCATACTCTTTTATAATGTACTACAATACTGAGGTGTAGATAATTGCCACTATCTGCAATAAGTAGCATAAATAGCAGAAAATCATGCTAGGTGTAAATAGAATCTATAGCTATTTGCACTGTGTAAACATTAAGTGTAACAAGGACATGAATAATATATATATTAGGGATGTGCGGGTCTAGTCGACTAAACGGTACAGCTCCTACTAGTCGACACTGAAAACAATAGTCGATTACACGACAGAAAAACAAAACATGATTTTATCATTCAAATTACCATCATTTTAACATTGCATTTAAAACATTTTAAATAACAAATGAAAATAAAACGTTTGAAAAATAATACATTATTTTTTTAAAGTTTATCTGGGCGAAAACTACATATTTACCTGAGACCTCACATGCGTTTTCTTCGTGTCATTTGCAGCCAGTTCAAAAATGACCATGCGAAAGATGAGCAAGGTGTGGGATTATTTTGAATTAGAAGGAAACAGAAAAATTTTGTGTAAATGGTGTAATGTCAAATTGTCTTACAATAACTCTACTGGAGCTATGCGTAATCATATTCAATACAGGCACGTAGGCATTAGCTTAGAGTCAATCAAGTCATTCACTACAACCCGCCGGCGCTGCGATCCCATCCGCGCCGTCTATTCCTCTAACAAAGACCCACTTCGGTGGTGGAGCGGGATGTCCAGGTGCTTTCTGAAACTCTATCGGCTTGCTTTTCGTTTTTTCTGCGTGCCTGCGGCTTCTTTTTCAAATGCAGGAATTTTATTGTTAATCGACTCAGGTCCCGTCTTTCACCAGACCACGTTGATAATTTCACTGAACAAATAAGGCATGGTCTGAGTAAGTAAAATGGGCATTGTTGCATTGTTTTGTTTTTAGACGATATAGCCTACACGAAGTACGTTTTAATGCTATTTATTGATAAACCTTTCTATTGTTTTTGACTCGTGTTTTAATATGTTGGCTAATGTTATATGAAGATTAAGAATTGTCAGGCTATTGATTGATTTTCCATTGTTCTGCATTTCCCCAGCTGATTTGAATAAATAAGCTATGCTTTGGCCGACGTTGAGTGTATGCTCTTCCTTTTTTTCTTTTTAACGACCGCCTAAAATGAAATGATGATAACGCGAGGCAAGTGTGCGGCAAGCGGGATTCATTGAGGGATTTGACAGTGTGAGTCATAGATTAAGTATTTCAAATATAGGCTATTATATATGCTACACGCACGCACAGAGTTTTTTTTTTCTTACCATCTTTTGGAGGTTTCTTGCTTTTAGACTAGTCGACTATACAAAACTTTCGTTTAAACGACAGTCAAATAGTCGTTGCGCACATCCTTAATATATATATATATACATATATATATATATATATATATACACAGTATATATAACTGCCTCCTCATTTTAAAACACCACCGCACGCCACTGATTATATCTGATATATACTGTATATATATATACATAATTAAAAACACACTAATTCATCAGTGCCTCAACATGTGCAAACACTCGTTGCTTAACACGTGGCTTTACAATAGGCCTATAAATACACATCTACAAAACTACACAAGGTTCATGTATTTATTTTTCTTTGGTACTGTGTAATACTGTATTCACCACCGCAAATGCTTACAGTAAAAAAAAGTTTGGTTTAAATTTTGCTTTCGTGTTTACCATGAGTTTTTCAACATCTCTCTGCAAATTATTGTCAATCTTGTACAGAAATGTACATAGAAGTTAATGAAAGAAGAGCTTTAGGTTTTGATTGAATAACTGTGTGTATATGATATATCCAAAATATTATATTATGGCAAAGGTGCTTGCAATGTAAGAAAAATGTTCCCTTTTGTGATATAATGCAGTGTTTCACTTTGCAAAAGACGTGAGGCATTTTGCATTTTGTGTGTGCGATTCTTGGATTTGTGTATAAAGTTTTGGAAAAACAAAAAGAGGCAAAGTTTTGAAAATGTGGGTAATTATGAATATATGATATTAAGAATATATATAAAACATAATAAAAAATGTCAAAACAACAAAATGACTAAAACTTCAACTAAAATTAAATGCAAACTATAATAGTATCTAAATTATACTATTATCATTGAAAAAACACATATATATGCCCATTTACTGCTTTAATGCAAAATAAACAATGTCTAAATAGATATCTGGCAACTGGTTAACATTCATTTAATGATAACCAGCTCAAAAGTAAAGTTGTTTCAGAGGCAGAGCAAGTTATTAACATTTTAATGAACGATTTCAAAGACAAACGTTAAAAACCATTCACAACAAGAGCAGAATGATGCATTAATAAAGTAAAGCGGCTCGGTTTTTGATTTCACGTCGACTTGAACAGGCTCTCAGCTCAAATCAGCGGAGAGTTTGAGTAGCAGATCGAGCGGGCAGCTTCGTCGCCTCTGAAGAGAATCTGTAAAGAAATTCAATCAGGTGGAATTAAACAGGGTGAAGATTAAGGCCAATTTGCATGAACCGCAGGGCTTCAGAGCCAAGTTGAATAAGCAAAAAATACTTAAGCAACTTATTAAACTCTTTCACCTTGAGGAAGCGCGGCGCGTGGGGGTATTATCTTCATCCTCTTTCACAGTCACATCCGAATCACACGCCGCAAATCTGCCAGCAGCATCGCACAATTAGCTCAATCAATATATGATTCAACACGCTGACATCCTTTATTAGCCGAGGAAACCAAAGTGGTTATTTTGCATCAAAACAATAACGTGTGATGTCATCGGCACTCGCGCTGATATCACCGATATTCCTCAGCCGGTCATTAATCGAAATGTTATTGCTCGTGAATATGGAAGCGGGTGGATTATGTTGTTGTAGTGTTAACAATCGGCTCGTGGCGCGCTGATTACGCCGCATTATGTGGGCCGCGCTGATTCACTCATGAGAGACAATGAGGAGCGGAGAAGAGGCCGCAGACGCTTGGCAGCTGCTTTTTTTCTGACAGGCTTCCTCTGTCTGTTAATTAGCTTTAGGAAACGTCATTATTGAGCTGTCAACAGCTCAGTCTCCCTTTAGGACACGCTTGGCAAATGAAACACGGCTAAAAGACATTCGGGGGCTTTTATTCGTGTACTTTTGGAGGTGAGTGATTGAAAAGGGAACATCCTTAAGGTCTTTGTCCGATATTTTCACGCTAAAAAATAGATCCAGCCTCACGTAGTGTCAATCACGTTTACACACTGCCTCCGAAACTTTAGGCCAGTGTTAATTTTGTCAGCAAATTTTGATTTAGTTTTAGTCATATTTGATTCCCCTGAATTGTTTTTAGTTTTAGTCTAGTTTTAATCGACTAAATATCATAAGATTTTAGTCGACTAAATATACAGTAAATTTAGTCGGCTAAAATCGAATGGGTTTAGTTACAGTATAATGTATTTATTAAGCATTTCTCTAAAATTTCCAAACTCATTATATAGGTTTGATATTAAGGTTTTATCATGATAGACACTGATTTAACTGCGGTGACACACAGCATGCCTTCATGTTAAAATTAAATAAAACCACTTCTCAACTAAATTAGGCTGCTGTCCCTTTAAAACTGAATGCACAGCTGCATGCAATGTACTGATACACGTTCTCCCTGCTGTTTACGTTCACTTAAGACGTAATCAACTGTGTTTACGTGAATACTCGTCAAAACGGACAATTCAACATCATTTTGTGTGTAATTCTCCATTCATGCAACGCGAAAGAGTACCCGCTCGCTGTGAGAGGCGCTTTCTGTGTGTGTATGCTTCAGTGTCTGCGCTCAGAAAACCGGACCGAATTGAGTTCTCTCTTGCGTCGTCAGATTTATCTATATGTCTATATGTCTTACTCCCACATATTGACATTTTTTAACGTTTTATGCGACGTGCAACAAGTGTATTTTAGCTTATGTCCCATCTAACCTCTGAACCACACAGCAGATTCGTTCTGAATGAATCTCTTCTCAAATCGTCCCTCCCTAACATTTTTGTCTTGTTTTTAATCGTTAGTTTTATTAGCTTTAGTCATAGTTTTTCTCATTCAAAAAGAGTTTTAGTTTGTTATCGTCTCATTGTCGTCAATGAAAAAAATTTCGTTGACTAACATTATGACGAAAATTATTCGTCAACGAAATTAACACTGCTTTAGGCCATCACAAAAAAATTTGGATCGGGTTTGATTTTCTGCGTTTTTCACATCCGTAGTAAGCATTTTGAAAGGTGTTTTGACGCATCTGACTGTGTGCAAGGTTTGGATGACGAATACGAAAAACGTATATGAAAATTTTGGACTCAGTGTGCAAGGACTTTTAATATTAATATAACACTGTCAACATGTACTGAGTATTGAAAATTGTGCTTAAATATCACCAAACAGTGTAGTTTTTGTACAATAAAACTACTAAAACTACAACTACAATTTTAAATATTTACATTATTTTATATTTATTTATTTCAGCTTTATTTCAAGTAAATATAAAAACCTGAACTTAAGCACAATTTAGAAATGTTCTTTGTCAACTAACTGAAATTAGTAAAATAAATAAGTCCTACTTAATAAGTACTAAGATGACAAATTAAAACTGAAATAAAAATAAATTAAAGCTAAATAGAAATAACATCATTTTGTGTGTAATTCTCCATTCATGCAACGCGAAAGAGTACCCGCTCGCTGTGAGAGGCGCTGTGTATGTGTGTATGCTTCAGTGTCTGCGCTCAGAAAACCGGACCGAATTGAGTTCTCTCTTGCGTCGTCAGATTTATCTATATGTCTATATGTCTTACTCCCACATATTGACATTTTTTAACGTTTTATGCGACGTGCAACAAGTGTATTTTAGCTTATGTCCCATCTAACCTCTGAACCACACAGCAGATTCGTTCTGAATGAATCTCTTCTCAAATCGTCCCTCCCTAACATTTTTGTCTTGTTTTTAATCGTTAGTTTTATTAGCTTTAGTCATAGTTTTTCTCATTCAAAAAGAGTTTTAGTTTGTTATCGTCTCATTGTCGTCAATGAAAAAAATTTCGTTGACTAACATTATGACGAAAATTATTCGTCAACGAAATTAACACTGCTTTAGGCCATCACAAAAAAATTTGGATCGGGTTTGATTTTCTGCGTTTTTCACATCCGTAGTAAGCATTTTGAAAGGTGTTTTGACGCATCTGACTGTGTGCAAGGTTTGGATGACGAATACGAAAAACGTATATGAAAATTTTGGACTCAGTGTGCAAGGACTTTTAATATTAATATAACACTGTCAACATGTACTGAGTATTGAAAATTGTGCTTAAATATCACCAAACAGTGTAGTTTTTGTACAATAAAACTACTAAAACTACAACTACAATTTTAAATATTTACATTATTTTATATTTATTTATTTCAGCTTTATTTCAAGTAAATATAAAAACCTGAACTTAAGCACAATTTAGAAATGTTCTTTGCCAACTAACTGAAATAATTAGTAAAATAAATAAGTCCTACTTAATAAGTTCTAAGATGACAAATTAAAACTGAAATAAAAATAAATTAAAGCTAAATAGAAATATTAAAAACTAATGAAATATTTTTTTAGCATATTTATTCTAGTTTTAATAAATGAAAACTTGGTCACATTTTCATCATGCTGTATAATGGTTAAAAAAGGTAAAAATGAATATATTTCTCAAAATTACAATCACAATGATTGTTGTCATTTGACATTTATTCTTACATTTCATTAGAAGTATTGCACTTTCACCAATAAACATAAATCAATAGAATGTGGACTCGTACACATAGCTCTGATTGGGGGATTTGAACGTTTGATATCTGGCAACCGCAAACATGAACGCTCGCATAGTAGAGGTGTGTACCAAAGTTATTTTTGTAAACGAAAACTAAAACTAAGGCGAAAACGATTGACGAAAATTCAATTTCGTAAACTGAAATAAAATAAAAATGACAAAATAATTGAAAAACTAAAACGAAACGAAACTAACAACAGTTATTGCAAAAGTAACTGAAATAAAATATAAACTAACTGAAATAATTTTAAGTTAAAGTACTAAATTGACTAAAACTGAAACAAAAATAAGTTAAAGCTAAATAGAAATATAAAAATAATAAAATATCATTTTTAAAACCTAAACTAAATCTAAAAGAAAAGAAAAAAAAGGTGTATAAATAATATTTAAAAAATACCCCTGTAATCAACAGGATGTAGTGATAAAGTGGCCCTAAAAATATTTGGGCGAACGATTGACGAAAATTCAATTTCGTAAACTGAAATAAAATAAAAATGACAAAATAATTGAAAAACTAAAACGAAACGAAACTAACAACAGTTATTGCAAAAGTAACTGAAATAAAATATTAATTATCAAAAATAAATAATCGTTTTCGTAATCATTACATTCTCACCCCTTGGCGGAAAAATATATGAGCTGTGTGGCGCCGGTGTTCTGACGATTTGTGCTACCCTGTCAGATTTTGCTACCTCCCATTAAAACAGATGGTAGCATAATTAGATAGCGAAAAGCATTATTTGTCAGAACACCGGTGGTTTAGGGAAATAGCTGTAAATGACGCATCGCGCTCGTGGGGTTAGCTGACGGAGAGACACAAAGCAGTTTAAAGCAGAGTCCTGCACGGGTCCTGTTTTGGTAAATGTGCACCAGCAGTACTTAACAGAATACTCGATCCGTTATCCAACAGCAGCACTAATTTAATTCTGTACCAGACCAGAACCATTTGACGCAAGTTGTCAGGTAGGCAAAATGTTTTATTTTCTCATGTAACACAAGCAATCAAACCAAAATTAGGCATTAAGAAGCTTTTGTGAAACAGAAAGGTTCTTCAGATGTTAAAGGATCTTTATGGAACCATTTAGACAAAAAGGTTCTTCTATGGCATCGTGAAGCACCTTTATTTTTAAGAGTGTACTAAGGCTCCATTTATTTGATCAGAAATATAGTAAAAACAGTAAAATTGTGAAATGGTATTACAATTTAAAGTGTTTTCTATGTGAATATATGTTAAAATATAATTTACATAGGCATTCTAAGTTGGTGCATGAAGAAAAACAGACATGCAGCGCAACGTAATAATTAACAGAAAAAAAGACGAGAATGCGCATCCTTTCTGAAAACAATATAAAACTTTAGCATAGCATCTTGTGATCACTCTGCCAGACTTTCGGACAAATGTGCAGAGCCTAAATCACATCATAAACACGCTTATAATTCTTAATAAATGAATGTGTCACATGATCCTTCAGAAATCATTCTAATATGCTGCTCAAGAAACCTTTCTGATCATTATCATTTTTTTTGCTGTTGTGTGATTACCTTTCAGATGGCCCCTGCCGAGCGTCACAAAGCCGGAGGAGATGAAGTTGTGCATGTCTTGACCACTGCGGAAGTTTTCTTTCCCATAATGCCCTGCAAAGACAGACACAGCAAGCGTTATTAATTAAAACATTCCCAAAATAAAAACTAAACTAAAACTAACAACAATATTAATGAAACTAATAAAAACTCAACTGAATTGTATAGCAATTTTGAAAACGATATTAAAATAAAACTAATTAAAAAATGCAAAACTATAATAACCTTGGTGTGTACAGCAGTCTGTAATATTCTGTCTCATTTTTTTGACAAAAAATTAAAAATAAATAAATAAATACGATTTTGGTAAAGTTTTAATTTTTTGAAATACATCTTAGTCTCGTCTTTTATCCTCAATGATATTGCATGTTGATATAGTCACAGTTATTGCTTAATGACCTTTAGTCAAAGGAAAAAAAGTTCATTGAAGAACATTTTTTGTCATAGATTGTGTTAATGAAATTAACACTACTCTCATCTTATTTAGATCACTTGTCAATCTTTTATACAGCTGAAGTGAAGTGAACCCTATAAAGCCTGTATCATATTTGATACACAAATTTCTAAGGTCTCTAAATGATATGATCAAAGCTTTGGTGAAAAACAATCTACTGCATGCCTTCTGTCATCTTGATAGTTCATACTTTTTAGCAAGTAAAAGGCCTTTTATTATAATTGTAAAAATTATACTTCAGGTTGTGTCTTTTTGCTGTGAAACCTTTACTCATTTTTATAAAGTAAATACAAGAATAATTTTTATATTGTTAGTAATATTTCAAGATGGACACTTACCGGACTGAAGCAAGTTAGCATTTACTTGACTATCCATTCATCATTTTTTTTAGAAAAATCATGTTGGAATGTGAATATCAAATATGATATATCAGGCTTTTGAGGAAGGTTTGTTTGTTTATCTCTCAAACATCATTGCACTGCATTGCATAATATGTTTTGAAACTACAGAGCTTTGATCATAAAACTCAGCATTTATCATCTTACTAAGACCTATTATTGGGAGATATAGAGTGACAACTGATATTTATATCATTTTATGTAGGTAGTTTCTGTTATGATGATCTCATTGATTTACATTACAAGCTTTAAGAATTTAATCTTATTTTTGGCCAGATAAATATCAGCATCTGCATCAAATTGCATATTTTGCTCAGTTTGAGCCTCTGAATAAAACTGAGGTGTTTATTACTTCATATATCCTCCTATATGAGCCATTAAAGCCTGATGTATCAAAGATATTACTCAAGATAAAACACATATGCTAACTTTCACATTTGTCTTTTGTCTAAAGGTTTAATAAACTGTTCCAATTTCTATTTTATATGTCAAGCTTTACAGGGTCGATGTTATGATACTTTGCCATTTTCCAGTTTTAACGAGTTTAAATAGATGAATAACTGATTCAAATGAACCACTTGAATGAACCAATTCACTAAAATGAATCAGACTTCTCAAAGCAAGTGAAACGTGCTTCATATAACTGGAAAGTCACTCTGGAAAGTGCTTTCCAAAGGAAAACCTAAAGAAACACACACAGACATGCTATTGCTCCATAAATCAATTGCATGCTGTGTAATTGTGTTGAGACATTTCTTGGTGAAGTTTTGAGGTGGAACAGAGATTACGGTCAATACTAACAGCAAACGAGAGAGAGAAATATACAGACAGAGAGAGAGAGAGAGAGATTCAGTCTCAAGAGGTGTCAAAAATGCCCTATTTTCAGGCGGTCTCTCATTTTGAGCCCTATATTCCCATTTTGTGTTATTTTTGTCACACAAAAATATGCAGTGCTTTTTATATGGTAGCCACCATATGCTTCATGAAACATCAGCACCTTTGTTTCAGTATTATAATAATGTCCATGATTTTATCTCCAAAAAAATCGCTAGCAGAACTCAAAAACTGATACAAATACACTGATAGTTCTCAGATTTCGACTGCAGACTTTGGTTTAAGCATGCTAGATATTTCATTCAGATATAAGGAATCACAGGTCAGTGTGGACAATTAGTTTCCATGTGTCCCTTTCTGTATGAAATCAAAGACGCGGGTGTCAAGATGACCCGGGAACAGTCGAATCAGAGATCAGATTGCATTAGGAAAACCATAATGAGAATAGCAGATGGGACCGTTTGCCATCTTCATTTCTCTTTCTCTCTCTTTATATTTTCCTCACAGTGGCTGATCTGTTCATCAGATCAGATTTTGGTACATTGCTGCATGATGAAAGTTAATATTTAATAACTATCTTTTATTAAAACATGACCTCGTTGAACCGTATTGTCTAATCAAACTGAGTAAAACTGAACGGACATGCATGCTAATGTTTAATCTGAGAGATCTGCTTCATTTTAGATGCGCATCAAATCGTCATGTCCTGGTTTAAAGAGCCTGAAGCAAGGTTAAAGATGCCATCTAATCTGGTTTCCTTTAATAAAGCCAGCATCAAAACATCATAATTTAGTATTTCATGACCATTTTCCAACAGACTTTTTTTCTTGCTACTGTACCTTTAAAGGAATAGTTCACCCAAAAATAAAAATTTGCTGAATACTTTGAGTGTAAACTGAACAAGCCAATGCACATTGGTATGTGATGATTGCATCCAGCTGGCGCTGATCGCAGCATGAGTATAACTAGGCAGCAAGTGCAAAGCATACTCAGGTTTTGGCTGAGGAGCCGAACCGGTGGGCCGCTCAGTGGTGGTACATCAGCTGTGGTGATGGGATGTGACGTCTCCGTTCCCTCTTTCAGGGAACGAGGGTTACATATGTAACCGAGATGTTCCCTTTCAGTCGGTCACTCTCTACGTCACGTCGGTAATGACCAACAAATTGGGATCCCTACCAAAACGCCATGGATGCTGCCCCTTCCAGTGTCCTGTGCGAGCCTCCTGCCCCCTTTTCGCCTCAGGCCGGAGCTCGCAACAAGAAGGCCAGTCACTGTTGTCGTAGCAATACCCAGTCAGTGAGATTGGATAACACTGGGAAAACATACCCATACCACTTGGAAAAGGAACGTTGCGGAAGCACTTACACATATGAACAATCGTTTAGGCGCATATGGAAGATTAGAGGTGATTATAACCCTCTTGGAAATGGCAGAAGTCTGCCGGGGAAACACGGGCTCTGAGGCTATACAGTGTACTTTACACATATGGGATCCACATATGGAACCCTACCGGTTCTCATGGATTCATCAAGTGAGGGCCTGGCGCACTTAGCCGGGCCTGGGCCTCAGGATTATCTGGCAGTCAGCCGGCCCAAACTCTAGGCACGATTTGTCGACTGAAAATGCGTGCAGGCCCCCACACTCTTGATGGGGGCCAATGCAGTCAGGAGCAGAGTTTTCATTGAAAGAAACTTTAGCTCGACTGACTGCAAAGGCTCAAATGGGCCCATGCCTCCCTACCAACTTCCCTTCCACAGGGTCGTGGTACGCAGCAATCGCAGCCACATAGACTTTAAGGGTGGAGGGAGGCAGCCTTTGCTCCAACCCTTGCTGCAAAAAGGAAAGCACGACTCTGATCAGGCATCTTCGGGGGTCCTCTCGGTGAGAAGAACAACACTCGACAAACAGGTTCCACTTCAAGGCATAAGTGTGTCTCGTAGACAGTGCTCTTGCCGTGAGTGATGGTGTCTACTACTTCTTGGGGTAGGCCACCTAGAACCTCCACGTCCCATCCAGGGACCAGATGTGAAGTTTCCCGAGGTCTGGACGGGGGTGCCAAAGGGTGCCCTATCTCTGAGTCAGTAGATCCTTCCTCAGAGGAATCTTCCAGGGAGGGGCTGTCACAAGGAGCATTACTTCTGGAAACCAGGTCCAAGTGGGCCAGTAGGGCGCCACAAGCAGGACCTGCTCCTCGTCCTCCCTGATCTTGCACAGTGTCTGTGCGAGAAGGCTCACTGGGGGAAACGCATACCAGCGCAGGCCTCGCGGCCAGCTGTGTGCCAGTGCATCCATGCCGAGTGTTCCCTCATTCAGGGAGTAAAACAACTGGCAGTGAGAGACTGGACTGTCTGGGGATGGAGTCTCCACTCTCCGGGGAGCACAGCTCATGACAGCTTGTCGCCTGCATGGTTGAGCAGACCCGGAATGTGAATGGCACGAAGTGACCTCAGATGCTTCTGACTCCAGAGGAGGTGGTGGCGGGCGAGTTGCGACATGCGACGGGAGCGTAGACCACCTTGTCGGTTGATGCCTTTGATGACGTTCGCAGTGTTGTTCGTTCAGACCAGCACATGCTTCCCTCGTACGCGCCTTCTGAGATGGTTCAAGGCAAGGTGTACTAATAACAACTCTAGGCAGTTGACATGCCAGTGCAGTTGGGGGCCTGTCCAAACCCCCGACACTACATGCCCGTCGTACGTGGCCCCCCAGCTGGTGGTAGAGGCATCCGTGTAAACCACAGCACACCTGGAGACCTGTTCCAGGGGCACTCCTGCCCGGAGAAATGCAATGCCCGGTGTGACTTGCCACGCCCACCTCGGGACTTGTACTGATATGCTCGTCCTTCGAACGCGAACCGCAGCAATGGTCTGTGGTGCGGAAGGATCGATATATGAAAGTACCCGAAGATGCATTTCCAAGATCGGTCTTAACCCACCACCTTTCTTGGGTACAATGATGTAGGGGCCATAGAACCCCGTCTTCATATCGGATGGAGGGGCCGGCTCTATCGCGTCCTTCGCCAGTAGGACTGCAATCTCCGCACGCAAGACAGGAGCATCGGCCGCCTTCATTGACGTGAAGTGGATGCCGGTGAACTTGGGGGGACGCCGGGCGAACAATTGCATAACCGAGTCTGATGGTCCGCTGGACCAGCGGGACCACGACATACCCGCGGTGGGGCTGTGAGGTGGAACACAGGGAAGAGGGGTCTGAGTGTGCGGTGCAAAACTTACTTGGCTCCACGGTTGGGCAGAGGGTGCATGAGTAGGGTCTTTGATGATACTCTCGAACTGCCTGCTGCTGCCTGCTGGCAAGAGAGCAGGATGAGTGTGGCCCGGTGTTGGTCCGTACGCGACTCTCCATTCCTT